CTGGTATCAAATGGACGAAGGCTATGATGAGTCTAACAATCCTTTTGCTGGTAAATCTAACTATTTAGTCCTTCATGACAGGCTTAATTATAATTTTACAACCTATTATATGATTTGACTTCCTCGCTTCATACTTCTTTTTTTCCTATTTGAAGATATGATAGTGTTTGTTTGTTTTCGCATAATTACAACTTTTCAATGGCCAGTGAAAGCAATCCCTTTAATAAATTTTCTCTTCAATTGTTGTGGTATCACTTCTATTTTTATCCTAGCTCCTAGAACTGCATCTTTTCCAACCCCACTTCACACCACCGATTTACCTGTTCACCATTCTGTTATCGTTTCATTCAATGTCGCTACAAGTGGATTTTATGAGGCATAATTATCCTCATCATCAGTTACGTGTTTCTTTTTCAGGGCTTTTGACCTACATTCAGATTTCATTTCTTCTACCCGCTTATCAATGTATCACTGCTACAAATCACAATCACTGCCTGGCTGCCTATGATCCTTCATTTCCCTTCCACATTTACGTTATATTCGAGGATTTATAGCCGATAATGCTCATATTTAGGCGTCTTCTTCCTAGGCTTCAGACCAATCGCCCAGTTATACTCTTTCTCAATCCCACCCACATTGCATCTCATTCTTTGGGATGCAAGCCCTGTGTCCGGCTTAATTCGGAAACGCTGTGCCAAAATCCACTGCCTTTCTTTTCCACTTCTTATTTACGTAAAGCTTGCTCCACTAAATCCACTTGAAACGACACCTTAGACGAAATTGGAGGATACGAGAACACGAACTGGTGTAAATAGGCAAATGGGCAATATGAAGTGGGCCTGAGAAAAAGGGCTACAACACTGGGAGGCTAGGACAAAAAAAAGGGCAAGGAGTGATGTCGCAACGGTTGAACAGAAATTTGTTCAAAGGGATTGTCTTCACATATCACTTAGAAGTTATAATTGTTCTAAGAATGGCGCCTTTCACTGATGATGCTAGTGAAACGTCTGTGAATGCACCATATCAACGGTCCGATGCTAGAAATCATCATGGATGCTATGGCAGAAAATAAAGAATTAGGTGAGCTTCACAAGTTCCCCCTGTCACTCCGATCAAGTTGGAAAACAAGGAAAAACGAGCACTATTTAGTTAAAGGAGGCTGCGACCAAGCAACAGGTCACACAATCTTGGTCTTTATATCTACGACCATAACAGAGCCCACAACATCTTGGTCTTCATATATTTATATCTACGATTTAGGATCTATTGTTCGAAATTCCCTTCAATCTTATCTATCCTCATCATAGAGCTTCACACATATCTGGCTTAGAACTAACAAAGATAATTTTTTTGCTATATATATACAAGATTAACTATCAATATTGAGGTTTACACAAGAATACATATAGATAAAAAGGGAATATAACTTCGATAAATTTTTCTTCAATTGTGAATAACTTTTTTGTCAGATTCTAGACTATCCTAAAATAAAACGAAAGAACTTACCTTCGCCCTATACGTATTGTTTGCTTCAGCATACTACAACGGAATTGTCCTTTTAATTGTTTTCAGACATACCTGAAGAGTATGCGGCCAAAAAGGAGCGTCAACTGGCGGAACGAACTCGTCGGCGTCGTGCCAAACTGACTGCAAGGGCCATTCAGGTTCATAAGGATCAACAAACCTGGGAACACAACCGAATGCTTCGTTCGGGTGTCGTACAGCGTGTTATTCCTGGCAGCAACAATGCCGAGGGTGATGGCGAGGAAGAAGGGGGAGGTGAGGCAGGTGGTTTTCTGGGTGATGAGGATGATGAGGAAGAAGCAGAAGGACGCGTTCACCTACAAGTGCGTAACATATTGCCACCCTTCCTCGATGGACGTACAGTTTTCACGCGCCAGCCAGAACCAGTGATACCCGTCAAAGTAATTCGTAATTTTATTTTCAATTATATTCATTTATAATTACCATAACCTATTTCTCTCAATAATCTACTTGGCTTCCCATTTTTACTCTTTACATCTATCTTAAACCACCTTGAAACTAGGACCCGGACAGTGTTATGGCTAAGCTTGCTCAGAAGGGTAGTGCCATGGTACGTTACTTCCGCGAGCAAAAGGAACGTCGAAGAGCTCAGAAAAAAGAATGGGAGTTGGCCGGCACCCGGTTGGGTGACATACTTGGAGTCCGTCGGCCTGACGAAAATGAGGCAGAGGGTGGCCGCTGGCATGAAGGAGCCTACCGAGAGTCGCAGACGTTCCGGGACAAATTCGGCAATTCAACAACGCAAGACGAAGCGGCCAGCCACTTCACAAAGAAGAAAACCATTTTAGAGCAACGACAGGCGCTCCCTGCTTTCCAAGCGAAGGCAGCTTTGATACGACTCATCAAAGAGCATCAGGTGATTTTTCTACATGCAGGTTTCATAAATTCGCTTTTATCCCTCTAATTGGAAAAAGGCCTCCAATACATGTGGATGTACGATATATTTTTGGATTTAATCTGCCTAGGAAAGAGCATGTGCTAAATTTTGGTGCGCTCAAAAGGTTTAAAAATGAAAAAAAAGCCTGGATTGGTACCGCAAGTCTATCTCCAGGGAAAAGTCTACTCAAAGATATCCATGTTGGAGTATCTTTCATTTCATTTGACAAGGCAAGTAGAAGATATTTGTAAGTTGGCCTCACCGGAAACTGTAGGATTGCCTTGGAGCTGTGATTGCAAATTTGTGCGAATCGGTCCTCGGCGCACCAACCTGCGGCCCCGATGAATCCCTGCTCAATTTTCGTCCTTCATGCAATGGACTTCATGCATTACGCTAATTCACCAGGCATTTAGTAGTGTCGCCATTAGGCGCATAATTTTGTTTAGAATACTGTTAAGTGTGCTAGTGATACCGAGGCGAAGTCTAACCTGCAGTCCATAATGGACGATAAAACATTTTTGAAGGTGAGGCTAAGTGAAATTCAATGGCTTTGTGAAATCTATTCATTTATTTTTAAGAAGC